CGTTTTAATTTTATTGTATTTTGAAAAGCTGTTGATTTATATCTGTAGACTTTCCTAAGCTAAATCATCGTTTGACATATTGCGGAAAACCCGGATTATCAAAATGCAGTTTTTTTCAAATTCCTGAAAAATTGGAAACCGTGGTTAGAAGGTGGTCTACTTCAATTTACCTGAGGTCCAACTTACCGTTATGGAGTTAGATTAGTATAGTACGCGGCGCGATGCGACGCGCACACCCCAATTTACATGCGAAACAACTTACTTCCAGCATTCGCGGGAAACATAGTAAAATAAATTTTAACACTATTGACTTACTTTTACCAATTTTCCTCACTGTATATCCCATTTCCCTATCCACTATATCTACGGATAGTTGCATGTAGGCGATCTAAAACGTAATCTTACTATGCCTTGCATTCTTTTATTTGCACACCTACTGCCAAGTAATCCTCCAGCGTGACGATACAATAGTCTCGGAACAGATCACGTCTATTTATCAACGTTTAATTTTCAGAAGCAGTAGAGGAACACAGTACATATTCGAAGATCCGATAGGTAAATATTAAACAGCAAATGACTTTAAAAAAATCGACTAACATTTAGGGGATTATTATTCCAGAAAATAAACACGCCTTTGACTTTTACTATCCGTTAGAATAAAATGTATATTTCCATCTAGACTATGGGCTTTTATAAATCATAATTGTTCTCAACAGTCAATTGACAAAAATCGTCGCCCTACACGCATGCTATATCTAAGAGCACGGGGGATCCCTTATTTTCCGACGGTTGAAAAAGCATAGACAATTTTGCCAGAAAAAATTAATATATTTTAGTTGTGGTCGGTCTTTCCACAAACAGTTTCACAAGTTTCTCTCGTGTAAAACATTATTTGAAATGAACGCTTCTGCTGCAATAATAATTGAATAAAATTAGGTGCTGAAACGTCGGGATGGATTCCTAGTGGTGCTGTATCTAAACAAAAGGTCGACCCCATATTTTTCGAATATTTTCAATAATGTTCAATTTACCTGTTAATTTTGGAGAACTACGCCTTGCCATTCTAATGTCCTTAATCAGCCAACACCCGTTTTGAACTTGCTAAACAGAGGAAGGTAAAGCCAACGTCGACTATTCCTGAGCAGAGGCATTTGCATATAGCATTTTGAAGATCCTGTGACCTTGGTTACTAATTGCTGCAAAGCACATGCAATAGCCCGCACTGATGACGCAACTCACAGTTTTCGAGTGGCACCACTCTAACTCACCGCGAAAGTGCCTCAGTTGTCTGTTCTGATATGCTACCTTGCATTCGAGGCGGTAACAGAACCATTTTTTGCTGATGTCTCTGATGATGAATCCATGACGGACATCGAAACATCAGGCAAATCAGCGTATTTTCCCAGCGATCGAGTCGTCTTCTTCTCAATTACTTCTTGGTACTCGCATGTCCGCTTGTATTAGGTATTGATAGACTGGCCCTGAAAAACCTTCCCAAACAGTATTAGCTAGCTGAAGTTATTCATGCGACCAAGCGTCAAAACAAGGATCTGCCGCATACAGTCTGTTGAAGTCCAAATTATCGATCGTCCTCGTGGCTAAGTCACCATGGGCTCAGGTGTCCTTTTGACTGGGCGTGATGTATGGACGTAGTGCATTAGGGGGAAAGGGGTGATAACGTAAAGACAAAATGTAAATGCGCATATTTCCTTCACATGAAATATAAGTTGACTCATCATATTTGCTGACCTTACCTTACGCGACCAAAAACAACAGCTTCGGGCGGGCGAATATTGCTTCGGTAAGCCTTTCCCCTTTAGAAATATTTCATCTGCATAATCAACACTCACAAATACGCATTTGTGACTTGTCATGTTAACTGACATATATATATAGTTTGAAAATGGCTCATACTGATGACGACTTGTTCCCGAAAGAAATCAAGAATAGAATGCAATTTATATAAGAAAAAGACTTACCTCTTACATACTGCTGCTGATCAGGTTGATTATAGTGCAAACTTGACCGATGTGCCCTGAATATAGATGCCCCAGTTTTGACCTCAGTATCGTTGTGGACAATGATCAATCAGCGCAACAACTGAACGTCATATTCAAAACAATGTGCGTAAGAGGGTGTATATTTAGTGCTGACATTTGCGTTTTTATCTAAATTTGGCACGTTTAATGCCTTTTTCTGAAACTGAATGTTACATACAACTAAGATATTTGTTTATGGAAGTTAAGGAGTTTGTATTTTTGTCATTCTCAGGACGCGAATGCTGTATATTATGCATATAAATGTCATGCCATGACACTTATGATAATCTCCATCGCTTATTCTGATTTGAATGTTAGGAGTAACAGTAATCGGTAAGCCTATCACTAAGCCTAATAGAGATCCTTTTGACGTACTGCACTGAAGATTCGCAACATATTGAGGATATTTCAGAAGATAAGTTGGCGAACATACGTTTGTTTTCGATAAATTCTCG